TATTTGTGTTCTTGCTGGGGAAGCAGCTCCCCAGCCCAGTTTGCTAAGCAGTTGCGCGAGAGCCTGTGTGAGCACCCCAGGGATATTTCGACCTACATGCATTTTCTGGCATTTTAATGCCTCTGTTATGATGGAATCCTCTGCGGGGAATTTTGCGCTGCTTTCACAAGAAGCCTTGGAAGGGAAAAGAAAACCTCTGTTTTCCTTTCAGCAGGTTAAGTGTGGTGGTGCTCACACAGCAGATTTAAGGGCAGGTGCCTGCACAGGAGCAGGGCGCTTGGCACGCTTGCAGGGCTTGGCCCGGGGTGTGCTCTGTCAAAGCGAGTATTGGGACCTTTGATATCGCCGCTGGAAGCACTTTTCAGAGTCTCACTTAGCACCCACAAGGATCACCATTGGTGCCAGGGAAGAAGCCCCTGGGGCTCTGCAAAGCTGCTGGTGCAGCCACACTCCTACACCAGTGGCTGGGGAGCATGGGCTCCTTCTCACCGGGGAGGGTCGGGCCATCCCCAGTGATTGCTGCCGAAGGGAAACCCAAAGGGGGATCCACAGGACCCCTCTTCGTATGTCACTGCTGTGGTGGGTCTCAGCAGGTGTGAATCACACTGATTCATGAAGAGGAGGAGGGTGTAGAGAGGGACAGGGAAGAGAGTTCAGGGCTGCAGCTGTGTAACCCTTTGAATTAATACCATGAACTAAAGTGTGTCAGGTGTGCTTTAAAAAACAGCAGTGTACCTCAAAGAAAGAAATCTCAGGGAAGTTTTGGGTTTTTCTTCATGGGCCACTTTTTCAGTAACAAACCATTCGGGGGTGGGGAGGGGCGCTGAGTAGTTGCAGTGAATGGAGACGAGCCTGAGCATACTTTGCAATACACTCAGCATGAGCTGACCTTTAAATGATGTCATTTTGGCTAAATATAAATTTACATGTGCTGGCCCAAATTATCTGAGGGAGCTGGCTTTGTGGAGCTCTCCCTCTTGTACGTAAGGACAGGGTGGGGCCCTGCTGGGGCCGTTCCCCTCTTTCTCAGATCACTGGCATTACAAAATGGGAGAGGAGAGGTGAGGAGAGGGATCTGTAGCCTGTAGGACAGTGTCATGGTTTGTTCACCCAAGCCTCACAGTAGGAAAGTTCCTGGTAGCTCAGCATGTCCTCTGACCTGACCAGCTATGGGCTGGATGGGGACCATGGATGGAAAACTCTTCAAAGATATCCTTATACCACTCTACTCTCCTGAGACCACTTTCTATAAGTAGCCTCTGTAAGGAAGTTATTCAAACTGTGGTTATTAAATAAACTTATGAAGATATGTAGATATTTGTAGAATACAATTTTTCTCATATATTTTCCTCTGAAATTCAGAAATATTAAATAGAGGGGTTTATATTATGTGAATGTCACAGAGATCATGTAAAATTTTTCTGAGTCTTAATCTGTGTTTCTCCGACACCTTGCTTTTTAACACAACACAGGTGTTTTATGTCACATGGGGAAAACAGTAGCATAGCGAAGAGGAAAAAATGCATTTCATACACTTATTTATGAACTTACATCTGCTTTCATCAGAGTCAATGGTTGGCAAAACTCCAATCGGCTTCAGCAGGGGTGGGCGCTAAATTTAACCATCAAATCATCTTGATTCTAAGTAACCCTGAATAAAGACGAGGCTTCCAGGTCCAAGGACCCATGGAGAAATACTTTCTTCAATAGACATTGATCAGCAAGGAGACCTGAATCAGCTCAGGACTGGACAAAGCGCTCTTGGGTAGCATGATTGTAGTCTTTCCACTTTTTTTTTTTTTTTTTTTTTTTTGGTAAATTCCAGGTGTAACACAGTATATTTACGAAGGCTAAAAATAACATGCAGCTGTGAAGAAAAACATCTCTGGTTTCGTTTCAGACCTAGGCTTAGGATGAATCACTGCAAAGCTGCACCCTTTACACTGGGCACACTTTCTAAAAGCTGCTTTTCCACTGCCCCTGCTCCCCTGGTGGTTCAGAAATAAAGCAGACTCACAGAAAGTCCTAAAAAAAGCCTTTGCAGACAATCACTCTCTTGTTCTGGGTGCTAAAAATACCATTTTCTAGTCTCTGCTTGCATTTTCAGTTTTGCTTTCTATACTGTAGAAGTCCATTCCAGCCATTTGAATTACACCCTGGTTCTGTGGTATGCATAAGCACACACTCAATTTGAAGTACCTGAGTAGTCCTGTTAGCTCCCGCGGAGCTGCTTACATGCTTGAAGTTAAGCTTGATCTTAGAAGATTTGCTGAACTGGGAAATTGCATGTCCACCCAGTAAGCTAACAGGACAAAACCCCTTAACCATCTGCTTCTGGATTTTAGTGAAAAGTTATGACTTATTTATGATTTTCTTCCCCCACCCCCGTCTGTTTATATTCAGATCAGAAAACCAGCTCAGAAGCCCTGTCAGATTGCCAAAAGCTGTGTGCTACTACTGGATCTTTCACATCATTTACTGTTCAGTGTTTACAAGAGTGTTTTTAATGCACGATTGCCCGTAGAAGTGGTGTACGCTAATACGGATGTGATATTTCATGTCAGCAGCAAGACTTTGATGTCCCTATATCCCAAGTCCCTTTTCACAGAAAAACAAAATAAAGAAACTGTCAGTTAAGCCAAAGGATGCTGCTAGCTCTCTGTTTCCCAAAAGCATCCCCAAAAAGTCAGCGAATGGACCAAATGGTCATTTCTTTTGTCTTTGTAACATAACTGACCTTGGGATTCAATTCAGGCATCTGCACAGGTATAAGGGCAGGAGTTGGATGATGTTTCCAAATATATGTGATTTAGTATGCAGACTCACTTATGCATATATGCCATTTGTGTTTGTTAAAGGTAAACAGAAAAAGCCAACATTTTAGTCACAAGCAACCACCACAAAAGCTCTTTTTCAACATGTTTACATCTGAAAGAAAAAGTTACTTTGTTTTGCTTAGCTCTGTTTAGACAGAAATAAGCTGCATCCCAGAATTATATTTAGAGGTATGTAGTGGGATGGAAAAGTTAAACCTGAGAGAATAATGCCCAAGTATTCTGGTTCTGAGAGGAAAGGCTAAATTCACCACCACTCAATGACAGGTAAGACCATGTGCTGACTATATCTTCCCTTGTGGTTATTATTGAGTCCTGTGGCTGACAAAGCAGTTGTAGGACCTTTACACAAGGCAGATTTCGTATGTAATATGTTGTGCGGCACCAAGATATTTTATACCTGAAAAAGGTATGTGAAGCCAACATTTCCCAGGCAATGTTCAACGTCCCGTTCCTTCCCCTAAAGAAGATGACAGTACCCATTGAATGGTTTCTGTGATATATTTTATTTTTAAACTGAAAGCCATCAGCAGGTTTTTTGGTTTTTTAATATATACATTTACACAACATGGTAAAATCAGTTGTAACACTGAGTAGAAAAAAACTGCTATACTTCAAATGTACTTCTAGTATACTAAATCTTTTCAGATTTCCAAGTGCTAGCTATTTTTTAAAACACAGATGTGAGAATTATAACTGCATTAGTTCCTGACCCATGGTAGTGCTGAGCAGTCAACTCAACCAAGTCACTTGGGCATTGGATAAAATATTTGCCACATCTGTTTGACGTATGTTGAGCAGACAGTGGTCCAAACTGTATATTATTTTTCCTCTTTTGTCTTCAAACAATAGCAAAACTCTTCTGGGAAAGCACCTGTATTCTGACCACTGGTAGGCTTACCGTGACATTGCCACCCAACACTTGCAGCAAGAGCTGGGATTTCCAAGCTGGGGAGAGCAAGAGGCTCTGGGTGAAACATATTTTGGGGGGTAGGGGCCAGATCCTGAAACACACTTCCAGGAGTCTGGGACTTGGAGGGTCTCTTGGTTCTCTGGACTGCAAATTAGTTGGTTTGCAAGGAACCGAAATGAAGCATAGCAACCTGACTTGCTGCTTGTTTGGTAAGACCATAGTACAGTTTCAGCAGTTAAATGGAAGGACTAAAGAAAGCTTGTTAGTAATGTAGTATCACTAAAGAAACCAAAACCCAACTAGCACCCTCCTTCCCTTGCTAAACAGCCTCTTTACATTTAAAGGTATTCCCCATGGCTCTGTTCTTTATTTTGATTTTTGTAACAATTTTTCTCTCCCTGATGAAACACATTGTAGACATTAAATTAAGGGACAAATATGTCTGTGTCTGCCAGAAAGAAAACTGTGATGCAATTAAAATGCCATTAGGGAACCCCCTATGGGATGTTAAACCTAAAGACTCTATTCAGAAAGCAAAGCCAAAATTAAAGACGTGTCTGGTTGCAGATCCTCTGCAGATTTCCATTTGACTACAGTACCATGGAGACTGTGCTAGTCAGGAGCTGAAAGGTTTTTCCAGTCATGCGTGTGGTATTTTGAATCATGGCTTTGGCAAATGTTCCTTTTCTGTAAGCCATACATAGAAGTGTGTCTACATTGCATGACATTAAGTGCAACTGAGCGTGGTCCACATGAAACAATGACAACAGTGGAGATGGGAAGCTGTCCAACCCTTGGACAAGTCTTGTCCAAGCCTTGGACAATGACAACTAATAATAGTTTTCCCTCAGAAAATTTACATTAAGTACATCTTTATGTTTGCTGAGTTGTCTGTGAGATGTTTGGAGAGAGAAGTGCAGCTACTTGCAGCCACCAGGCTCAGCAAGCTCACGAACAAGCCTCCACTCTAGCCCGGTCTCAGGAAATAAATCGTTAGTGTTTATATGTTTGGAGACATATAAGAGCCTGATCCTTTGAAAATAAAAATAAATATATGGTCCACTGAGGCTGGTCATTTTTTCCCAGGCAACTGAAGGAATCAGCAGAGTCATTGGGTGGTAGGTACTGAGTTTTCCAGTGACAGCCCAACCCCAGTGCTTAAGTCTCTTTTTTTTTATTTCATTCAGCATGATTCTTTGCTGAGAATATAAGACTGGACTAATAATAGAAGCACACCTCTCTTCTCTGTCTAGGAATTCTCCTGATGACTGCAGCGTGGCAAAAGGAGGGAAAATGGTTAGCAGCTCAGACAATGTTGGGATGAACTATGGAAACTACATGGAAGAGAAGCACGTTCCACCCCCAAATATGACTACCAATGAACGAAGAGTCATTGTGCCAGCAGGTTAGACCCTCTACACAAAAATGTCAAGCAAAAAAATGCATTTCTCTTAAGTCTACTAACATTATTTAAGAAGATTTGGAGAAAAGTGGCAATGTGATATTAGTGATCAGGAAGAAAAGAGCAGTAATTTCCCAGGGTTATTAAGAGTATGAGCTGAGAAATACCATAATGAAGCCACCTCCTCAACCTATCCTTCCCATTTCAGCAGCAGAACTGTCTGATCACAGGCACTCAGATCTTACCTGACTTCTCTAGCTCCTTTTGGAGTATTTCATCCTAAAGTAGGCAAAATGAAGAGCCACTTCCATTTCCTAACACCATGGAGTAGCTGGGTGCAGGGTGTGTGGGAGAGGGAAAGGATGACTGTACTGCATGATAGCCCTGCAAATACCAAAAGCAGTCCAGCCCTCATCATGCTCAAAACACCATAACTTCTGTGAAACCAAACAGTGCATGAAAAGCATTTATCTAGGTTATCCCCTGAGTTTGGGCAGTGTAAAACATTTAATAAGCAAACTGACAACTCCACTGCAATATTAAGAACACAATTGAGAAATTCTTGGTTAGTCTTGGCAAGCTTGGTTGTGGGATTCCGCAGTTAATTGAACAAGAAGGCATTCACTCCTGTGTGCCTTGTCCTCCAGACAAACCTCTGCTGGAAGGTTTTTTGCCTCGGTTTGCAAAATAACTAGCATGCCTATTTCTGAAGTCAAAGAATTAGACCATCATGATATATGTGAGTGTTCATAAACCACTGGATATCCACAGCACAGACACATCACCTGCAACCTGCAAGCAGAAGGGAATGTTCTGTTGCTAGTTCCTCTCCAGCAGAGATGTGCCTGACTGAAACATTTCTGCTACTGCTATGTTGCTTAATATTCTTACAGTTTTTCAGTTGCTAAGATATGCAAGAGTACTAACTGTGGCCAATTTTGCAAGCTGTGATTATTTCAGTTATTTGTCAAGATACGTGTGGACAAATATGTTGCAGTATCCTCTGCAATGGTATTCACAGCTCTATTCTGAAACACAGAAGAGTGATGCACTGAATAATGAAGTGTCCTGCCTAACTGGAAGCAGACCACACTGAAATTCATGAGATTTGGATGTTCTTCTAAAACATTTGTCTTGTTGGTGGTTGGCACTTTTTTTCAGTCTTTTAGTAACCCTTAGCATGGTTAGCTCAGCAAGATCTTTTTTTCTCAGTGTATTCCTGGAGGTGTGTTTTGAGGTGGATTTGATGACATTCAAGGAACAAGATGGTCACAGTCACAGCCTTGATATTTTTACATCCCTAGAAGAAATGTATGGGTAATGGTTTTGTTTGACTACCACATAGACAGCTTGCAGCTCATGTGGCAATATTTAGGAGTAAAAAAAGCAAAATTCACATTTCTAGCTGTGGTAACTTTATAGTTAACATAAATCAGAACAATTTAAAAATTGTAGGCATAATCAAAATGTTTTACTAAACTGCATGGTGTTTGGGTTTTTACTTCAAACCAAACTGAATGCAGTTGTTGGAGTTCTCTGCTGTAGTTGTGGGCAATCTCGTCCAGACCCTAAGTTTGTCAACCAGACTTGCATCTCTCTAGATCGCTACATATTTCATATCAGGTGTGGAGGGGTTCTTTTAAGTGTTTATTGGTGCACTTCAGAGAACAGAGGAACTCTCCGAAGCTCCAGAGAATTAAATATTCTGACTTGCAAGGGCTTAAAATGCCAAAAGAAGCATCAGAAAAGGGGAGGCACTAGAGGGTGAAGGATTGGGAATGAGCAACAGCATGACAGACTGAATAGCTCCTAGCCCATGGAAAGAGGAGCCCACTTCTTTCAGACCAGCCTGAACAACAGTCAAAAGAGAGGGGGGAGCACTGCGTTAAGCCACAGAAAAGCTATTTAGGCTGACACTCAAGTCCCAGCCTTTCCACAGACTTTTATATGGCAGAGTACAGCTATTTGACCTCTGCGTACTCCATTCTCAGACTTCAGTATATCACAGAATCACAGAGTTGTTTAGGCTGGAAGGCAAAAACTCTCGAGGAGTTTGTTTTCCCTTAGCTTTATTCTTTTCTCTTCAAAAAGTACAAATTCTTCATGGTAGGAGCTGTCTTCCGTTACAGGGATGTGCACCGCAGGTCATTAGGGACCTTCATGTTGATGGGTGCTTACCGTAACTCAAGAATAGGGAAAAGTAGAATGGAAGAGAAATAGAAAAGGAGTTTAGAGGCAAAAAAGAAGTTGAAGTTAAAATTGAGGATTCATTGAAAAACACAAGGTATTTGGCCTTACGTTTTGCTAAAAATCTGGACTAGTTCTTGGTTTTTTTTCCAGATGGTTTTGCCAGTACTTTGGGTAGTAAGTAAAAACCCATGCAGGTGTATCAATGTACACCGGTACAACACAGCAGTCTAGGAAAGGAAGTGCAGAATATTTTAATACGACCTACCCTAGCTTATGAACTAACTAGGCAAATCTGTGAATGCTTACTTAGCCTATGGCCAAGAAACAGTACTTCTGACTTGAGTGGAAATTTCACTTGACTAAAGATACAAATTCAACAGAGAGCTTTGATAATTGTTCAGATACAAGTCGCAGTGCTGTTAGTGGGCTCTCTTAAATACTCTCCTAAAGAGTATTCTGTGCATGAGGACAGGAGCCTATCTTAATCTGTGGATAATAATGCATAAACATAACAAGACAAAAGAACTAAATGGGAGAAGGAGCTCAACAGCAGAGGGTTTGTTTTAATAATCAGAGCTCACAGCTCTTCCCTAACAGTTTTTCACAGACATTCTCCTTTGCACTCAACAGGCCATATATATTCCTCGTCTATCTCCAGCAGGCAGTAAACAGGGGATTAAGGTTGCTCCACTTTGACTATGGTCTACATTTATTTTGTATTGGTCCAGTGCATCAGCATTCTCCCCTCTCTGCCTAATTTTATGCTTTGTGATACCACCAGATCCTACGTTATGGAGCACAGACCACGTACGCCAGTGGCTGGAATGGGCAGTGAAGGAGTATGGTCTCCCAGATGTGGACATCTTGTTGTTCCAGAACATTGATGGGAAGGAGCTGTGTAAAATGACCAAAGATGACTTCCAGAGACTCACCCCAAGCTATAATGCAGATATCCTCCTGTCACACCTACACTACCTCAGAGAGAGTAAGTTTTCTGTCATTGTGGTAGTGGCTACAATCAATCTGTCATTGATACCAGTCTTAGATTTAATGGTGTGGATACACTCAGCTGGGTTTTCAAATGTCTGTTGCAAATGTTGCTGTTCCTAAGAACACAGTAGGGAGCCTGATCCAAAGCCTCTTGAGTTTGATGGAAAGATTCCCATTAATTTCAGTTGGCTTTCACTCATGTTCATCAAAGAAAAGAGTTAGGGAATATTTCTACATGTCCATCTCAGAGAAAAATCAAATTGAAACCCAGCATATTCATCAGCATACTGTAGGAAGAAAATCATATGGAATTCAGTGCTAATGTTTTTTCTGGTCACATACTCATTTCTTTCCATTTTAACGATGAGAATGCTAAACGAGAGTGCAAACATTGATTCATAAAGTGAATTCCAGGCATGATTCTAAGGACTGGCAGCAGTTTGCTCTACTCTGAATAGGATCAGTAAGATTTCACTGAATTGAATAAAAGCTCTGTAAATTCATGAAAAAAAGGAACAGTCCCTGAAATCCAAATCCAAATTACTTGTAGTGCATGGCTAGCATTTCAAAGGGAAAGCAGGGACTAGTGAATTCCTGGCTTGAGGGCTTTCATCTGAGCTTGGGGAAATTTTGCACATTTGCTTCACTTTAAATAAGTTAAAGCAAACACAGTTTTTAATGAAAAAAACAACAAGCATTGCAACACCAGTGCGGTGCAGTCTTCTCCACACGCACACTATCAATAATCAGTCAGAAATACTATGCATTCATAACGTTGAATAAATGAATGCCCTAGCTTAAGCTGTAGCACACACGCCTCCCTCCAAACTGCAGACTGAAACTGGCTGTTGGTAGACTCACATTCAGACAATCCTGTCAGGGGAAAATATGGTTTAAAAAGATAATTCACAATTTTTTTTTCATTTTGGTGTTGCTTTTTGTTTTGTTTTGTAGCTCCTCTTCCACATTTGACTTCAGATGATGTTGATAAGGCCTTACAAAACTCTCCACGGTTAATGCATGCTAGAAACACAGGTAATGCTGGCACTGCTCCCATTGCTATAGGTCATCTTCTAAAAGCACAGGATTCCTTTTTATGGGTTGCTTGCTAAAAATGGAAACGGTAAATCAGGAGGGAGACAACCGTAGCCTCTCCTTTCTGTGTGTGTGAGTTTTATGCACAGACGCACAGAAAAAAGGTGAGATCACGTAGGGCCAGATGGTGCAAAAATGGTCTCCTTACTGGTAATTCCTTGAGTCCTACAAGAGAATGGGTTCCCTGACACATGATAAAATGCAGGCTCGGGGCCTTTGTCTCTCAGGACTTTTTTTCTCATTCTGTCTCATTGGGCTGTCAGATCTACTCCACGGATCCCTAGAAGGTTGGTGGAGCTCAAAAGTGCTTCAGCTCTTGCCTACATGCTGTGGGCTGTGGTGAATGGGGACTGTCTCCCCTTCCATGCAGTGTATATATCGCATAGTACAATACAATTGTTATTTAGGCAGTTAGCTAATCTCATTTGTCAGCTATATGGGACTTGAGCTGGAAACTCCACTAAGTTTGGTGTTGTAATTTCCACTAAGTCTGCTCTAAATGTAAAATGATTTTTGTTAATATTTACCCCTCTGTTAATTTGGTCCAGAAAAGTACTGGATGTAGGTAGGAGAACGATACAATACATGCCTCAAAAGCATCTGTCTTTCATGATGTGACTTAAAATATTTATGAAAATAATTCAGAATAAATTTTATCTTGCTCTAGCAGTTGTGCAGGATGGCATGGAATTGTACATATACTATGGTATACATACCGATTAAAGATGTTTGGAATATTGCATCATCATGCCTGAGGGTATTAGTTACCTACAGTGACCAGAAATAACAATTTTTTATGAGAAATGAAAAAGATAATACAAAGGATAATGCAAAAGAAAAAAAATACAAAACCAAAAAAACCTCTTGGATTGTGATGCCTTTTTCATATATCATTTAGTTTTTCACTGTGGTAAATAGCAGTGAGTTTCTTGGCAAAATTAACTAGATTAGAAGATCTCTCCCTGAGACTAGATGTTTGCCACTTGACATAAAGTCCTACTGTAGGCTATAGGTCTGCTGCAAACCCCACCAAAAGCAACAAAAAAATTTTCCGTTGACTTTGATGGGGTTTGGAATAAGCCTTAAGCCCTTTTTAAAAATAGATGGACTCGATGGTCTTTTCCATCTCTGGCTTTCCAGATTCTAATTTGCCAAGCAGTTTCCACAAACAGTTATCCAAGTTTTGTTCAGCAGTTCTGTGTGTTATCTTTTTCTATCTGTGTGCACTGACAATGATGTTTTGAAATTCATTTCATCGAAATGAGATTGTCTGCATTTCTGTCATTGCGAGTGTAAATAATATCGTGCTGATCATCAGCATAAGGAAAATTTGTTGTTCTGGTGGCATAAGAACTTTAGAGTGGGATTTTCAAAGGACGCCAAAAGAGTTAGAAACAAGTTCTTCTTGAAGTCAGCAGTAATTGCACAAATCCTTATGACCCTTTTCATGTTCCTAGAGATAGTCATTAGAAGTCTGTTGATGTAGTTAGAGCAATTTCAACGCCTAAGTGATTTCTATATCAAGCTCAATATTTTTAATGTTTTCACTCTATGAAGAGAAAGAGATTTCTGAGGGTCTGACCCAAAGCCGCCCAAAGTCTGTGAGAAGATTCCCACAGGCACCAATAGGCTTTGGCCCAGGTCTACAGTCTCTGGTGATAATATGAGCCTGTTTGGGAAGTGCATGCGCTAATGAAGAGAAGGCAAAGAAGTTTTATTTCAGAACATATGAAACCACCTGCCCAGGTGGAGGTGATTGTGGGGAGCGTAGAAGGGATTTCCTGAACTTGACTCTCTCCTAACACAGATTTTGCACAGACTTTTATCCGGTGATTTGAATGGATTTACACAGGTGCAAAGGCTATTGAAATTAATTTTTGTGTGTAACAGCCCTAAGACAGAAAATAGTTATTCATAGTCTTCATTCAGACACACTACGAGAGGGAAAATATCAGTGGACTTAGGGACTGTGAAAATGAATCTTTAGGTGTTATGTCTTCTTCTTTCTCTTTAGGAGGCGCCACTTTTATTTTTCCAAATACATCAGTTTATCCAGAAGCAACACAAAGAATTACAACCAGGCCAGGTATGAACAATGACCATCTTCTGTATGCTGTGATCTTACTCATTTAATCTCGTGAAATATCTCTTTTTTTTTTCTCCTTCAACTCTCTTTTCATTAATTTTAGGCTATATTTTGAATACACGCACATATTATATACATATATTTCATATACATGTATGTCTGTGCATGTATCATTGTGTAGAGTGAGATGATAAAATAGAGCAGTTTAATGTCTGTTTCTTCCACATACCTCTGTCTTTGAAGCAATGTTATCTAGTGTTTAAAGCACCAGAGAATCAGAAGGCTGGAGCTGTAGTCACTGGTTCTGTTGCATTGTCCCAGCGCAGTCACTTTTCAATGTGCTTCAGCTCTCTGTCTGTAAAATGAGGCAAGAATACCCTCTTTTGTAATGCTATTTGAAATATATTGGGGAAAAAGTACTCTAAAAATGAAGGATACGTGTTTCTTCTGCTATCTACTTTTTATTTATATTTGATGCAAATAAACCTCACAACCTCTGATTGTGAGTTTAAGAGACTAAATAAGTAAAATCAAAACATAAGGAGGTTCTTATTGCTCAGAAGTTTGAAGCCCATGAAAGTATTGTGGGTGTGCTGTTTGTGAAAGGCTAAAGGGAATAATTAAAGAAGATGAGGACATTGCTATGAGGCTAAAAATGTTCTTTACATCACCCTTCACCACTAAAGATGTTGGAAAAATGCCTAATCTGGACATTTGCTTTTCCAGTAATAAGCAAAAAGTACTGTGAAACATCAAGAGGAGTTGCAGCAAAATATTAAAGGAAATCCATTACTGAGCCAGAGGCATACATCCAACTGCTCTGAAGGGACATACACTTGAATTGACTGACTTCTTGTGAAAAGATACAGTCTCTCATTTAGAACAGAGGGTTTTTTGGATAGCAAATATTTTATCTGTCTTTTATCAGTGCTCTAGGGTATAATCCAGGAGACTATACACAAGTAATTGTCCTATATACACTTGTATACATGTACATATGCATATCTGTAGATTTGTTAATTGATAATTTAAAAAGATAGATAGGGAAGCAGCTAACAGATCATTACATGATCAAATCCACCCTGCTTAGTTTCTAGGAAAACAAACTCTTCTGCTAGATTTGTTTGCCTATAATGATACTGTAATGAATAGAAAGGAAACCACTGATCCAATGCATATATTTGGCATTTGGCTTTCATAAGACATTTACCAAAGTGCCCCACAATTACTTGCAATGAAAGTTAAGTCAGCATATCATAAGAAACAAAATATTTTATAGATCAAGAACTGGCTAATTAACCTGTTATAAAGACTAAATAATGGGCCTCTTAACTCATGGTTGCTTTAGCATTCTCTGCCATGATCTATAGTTATTAATAACTTCGAAAAAGGACACAGTAAAATGGAGATGACATACGATTTTGTCATTACCTAAAACCAGAGATTCCTGTAAAAGATTCCTGTACAAGTGCACAGAGCCTTATTAGAGATCACCAAACTGGCAATATGTCAACAGCTGAAAATGCAAGTTGATAAATGCAGTATAAGGCACAAGTTATTTGCCTATCTTACTGATTTCAAATTAACCCTCTTCACTCATAAAGGAAGAACTTAAGATAGGCATCTTTATTTATGGCACAACGAAAGCCGCTGCTCTGGTTGTTGGCCAAAGTGAAAAAAAAGTAAACAAATGAAGAACACAGTGGAGGACCAGATGGGAAATCTGACGGTGCCATTAAATAAATCAGCAGTGTGGCCTTGTATGGAAAGCTGTGTGAATCATCCCTTATCAAAAAGGCTGTTTGCAGAATTAGAAGGCGCTTAGAGCAAGCCATGGGAATATGGGAAATCTTTCAAGCATGTTGAAAGATATAAAAGTTTGAAATTATTCAACTCAGGGTCTGGGGATGAAGAACCATGATATAATTATCAAAATAAAGAGTGTCACAGAGTACCTGCTTAGTCTCAGTATTAAAAGAAAGGATATGCAAAAAAAAGTTGGACATTTTCATGAAACATTAAAGCAGACTGTGGCCCTTGTGGTCACAGGTTATAGTAGCACCCAGGAGCTCTGAATGGCACAGAGGAATCTGGACATGAATATGGATGAGAAGACAAAGCATAGCTATAGAAACAATTAACGACTATGCAATGTAAAACTGGATGCCCAAAGCTCTCAGCAGTTTCCGTGAAAAATGAATGTGTAATATAAGACCAGAGGGACCTGGGTGTCCTGCAGGAAATAACCATGCCAATTGATAGGATTTCAGGCAAAGGCTAGAATGAGTCTGCTGTGAAAGAATACTATTTTATGGGTATGTTTCCACTGGACTTGAACAAAACCTGGATTTTTTTATCCCATAAGAAATCCTATGATTTCAATATTTGTTTCATCCTGCCCTGTGATGGAAAAAAAAAAAAAGGTAGTTTTCTCTGAAGTAAAAGGTTCTGAAAAAAACACGTATCAGGCATGGTGAAGTCCTTCATTTCAGCGTTTTTATCCAAATCACATTACAATGACACTTACAAAACAAAATGCTTTATGTCAACATTAAAAGCATCTTCCTGCATTGACACAATTCCTTGTGGCAGTTGTAGTTTGGATATGGGGTGTCTCTATTCCTCTGTATAAACTGATGTTTCCTAACTAAACATTTCCTACAACAAACTATAATGTGATTTTGAAAGTATTATTTTATCTTTTACAGTTGAAAGTTGAAAAACATCTTTAAAGTCAGAATTTTCATTCAGAAAGAAAAAAAGATTTTTTTGCAGAAATTCAGTTTTCTCTCAAGAAACTATTTTGTTGGCTTATCCCATGGCTTTCCTTTTAGTTAAATGTCACATTTCAACAAGACTGCAAAGAAGCTTTTCCATAACAAAGTGCCCTTCATGTGAGAGCAATAGCAGACCCTGGGGACAATCAATGACATGAAAAAGGTCAAAAATGGGGGTGTGTGTAAATAATGTTAAATGGGAAATAGCCAAATCCTGGGATGCAATTCTGGAGAAAGTAATTAAGCATTGCCATTGTTAAGGCACTACAATAGAAAATAGGAAATGAACAGGGCTTGTAGTGAACTGCAGTGACAAAGGCATATTTCTTTAGTCGTGAAGAAACATGAGGTTTCAGCAAGCTGAAAGTAATACAATAAAGCTACCGGGAGCTCAGGAAGACCTAATATGGGTTTGTCTACATGTCTCATCAAAGAGGAGCATTTCCATCAGAGATCTGTCCAAGATAAGGACATGTTGTACTAATATCTCATGAATAAGAACAGATCTGCTTATCTAGGATAGCAACATGTTTATCAAGGCACAATGAACTAAGAATGAAGTTGGAATTTTGCGCTATTTCAAGAAAGGCTGATAACTGGATTTTTCTTTTAATGGAGAGGGCGTAGTCAGAAAACCATCTTATGATCTGTTGAGTTAAAAGGCAAAACAGTTTTCTCACAGTACTAAATTTGTACCAAATATATTTTAAGGCTGCACACAACATCACACAGGCCTCTCAGTGTACAGGTGTCTAATAATTTGGAGACCCACAAATAGGAGAGGGAGAGGAGAGGGAAGGGGAGAGAGGGAGAGGAAGAGGGAGGGGGAGAGGGAGAGGAGAGGTTGTGGGAAGAGTTGCACAGCCTAATGACAAGCACGTACCTTCTGTGTGGTCTTTTTCTCCTATTTGTCTGTAGTCTTTCTGGGCAGGAAATGGAAGAACTGGGGGAAAAAAATAGGTTCGCTATGTCACCAGACTCTCCCTGGCAAGGCTGCCATGGAGGTCAAGATCTGGCCAGGCAAGGCAGGACTGGACAAGATACATGAAGCATCCCATGGCTGAGCCCTGTCCTGCTCTGTACAGACAGAACTCGGAAACCCCTGGAAATATGACCAGAGTCCTTCTGAATTTTTTCTGCCAGATGGTAAATTCCTCAGGCCATGAGGTGTCTCTAACTACAACAATTAATAGCAGTATTGATCTCAACCTGGTCAGGACATGTGCACGTTACAGTGATTCACCTACACACCAGTATTCTGCTCAGAGATGAGCACTCGTGCAATTCACGTTATTTTCTCCCAGTTTCTGAAGGACAAGTCTGTGAAATAATTCTCAGGAAATCAGGGATAAAAAGGCACTAGTTACTCAAATGTAATACAAAGATAAATTGCGTATCTCGGCAAAAGCAAAGTTTTTGAAGTATAAGATTCTGGGAGTTGACAGTGCTGGTAGTGCCAGTCTGCTGCTCAAGCCAAACAGACTAAAGAAATTAAATGCAATTTGGTTGGGAATTTCACATTACACTTTATTTCCATTCTATACTTCTGCTCATAGTGCTTGGAAGTGGGCAGACGTACATCTGTTTTGCACAGAGCCAGTCTGTGACTGTTTCTTTACTACCTAACCAGTTTCATTTCCAAACATCATTTCTAAAATCAAGCACGAGCACTGTTAAGAATCAAATATTCTGCACCAACTTATTTCTACCAGGTGGGTACTGCTGCCTTCCCGAGATCAGTCTACGTAAGTCTCTGATTTTGGCAGCAATTTTAGCTAATGTGCTAAAGCCAGCCATAGAAAAGCACAGGCAACTGCAAGAGATTTCAAAGGGTAAATGAAGCATTTGGATTTACTACATATACTTTATGAAGAAAGCTTTTAAATTTTAGTTTCTTCCTTTTTATATGCTAAAGCATTTAAATTGAAGTAATAAGTAAATGAAAGAAAAGGCAAACAAAAATTTAGATGCATAAGGAGCTTGTCCTAAGAAGCAGAAAGGAATATTTAAATAGATGAAGCAGGAAAAAAGCTATCAACTTTTTGGAAGAAATATAATATGTATACATATATATGTTTAACATTTAAGCATGTTCACTGTTTTCACATGTTATATTTCTGAAGATCTGTGAGGACACTGGGGCATGGAAGGGAAAGTGAAGGAAAAAGAATTACTAGTAATTTGAAATGACAAGTAGTAGAAAAACAAGTGAGACTGGCAAAGTGCAGCAATCAGTTATCCCAAAAGGCTGGATTCTGAACGATGAGAGTGAGACCAGAGGGTGCATCTGAGGAGGAGAGCACTTGTAAACGTGAGGATGGAGAGCATAATAAAGAGCATGATGGCAGTGAGAGCTGGTGCAAATGCAAACATACAACAGTGGTTTAGGGGAATCTCTAACAGACAAAACTAAGACTTCATTGTCTCATGTATCTCTGGCTACGACCGGGTAGCAGAAAAGGGAACTCTCAAACTCAACCTATAAGGTTTGATCAATCACAAGGAATGACAGCGATAGACTTAACAAAGAATAGCACATGACTTCAGCTAAAGACTATCTTCTTAAAATACTGTTACATGCTGAGGCTGGGGGGAATGGTACACAGTTTATGTTTCATCTGAGCTCCTGGGGGACTTCTCCTGCAAGACTCTAGCATAAATTCTCCATGATGTGCAGTGTGTGTCATTCCTTGGTGTCCTGGGCTGAGGAAGGAGACCAAAGGAAGTACTCTGAGCCTTCGGAAATGATGGACTTTAGAGTATTTGTACTAGCTATTTCTGTGCAGTTCAGACATCTAACAAGAACAGACACCTCTAAAGAGCAATGCAGAGGGCAATGTGGTACCGTTATTTTTAGAGACAATAAAGATGATAAAGGTTTTAACAAGGAGCTTCCTTCCTATTTCAGTAATTTTTCCAAACCCTTGGGTCCCCTAGCAATGTGCCCCTTACAGATATGAACACTTTATGCTGTATCTGCATGGATCTGTATTTTTCCTTCATAGATTTGCCTTATGAGCAAGCCAGGAGATCAGCATGGACAAGTCACACCCACCCCAGTCCTCAGTCAAAAGGTAAAAAACATCCGCACATGTCTAGCCTGTGGGCCTGATGCACTTTTGGTTCAGCCTGGATATACGCTGAACTGAGCTGATAAGGGCTACCTCAGCATTCAGCTCTGGATGATTTTTACCTGTGCCTTGGCAGGCAAGCCTGTTAGCTGTGTATAGGCAATACCGGGTGGAGTCACTGGGGCAGCCACATCCTCCTTTGAACTCAAGCTTCATCAGGTCCATGACCATATAGTTTTATAAAGCTAAATCCCATTGTGACCATCATTGAGTGGCAAGCAGCAGGAGTCCTAGGCCTGTGATCTATCACAGGTTTGGTGACCATCTTTCAAAACTGGAAAAATAATTACATGGGTTTTTCCATTTTCAGCTACTCAGCCATCATCCTCAACAGTTCCCAAAACAGAAGACCAGCGTCCTCAGTTAGGTGGGTATCGTTTTATTTGAATTATGCCTGGGTGTAATGGGGTTTGTTGAACACGATAAGGACAACTCTCACCTAGCAACCAGAAGCAAATTGGTGGTGGTCTGATTCAGACCAGTAATGAGATCTCCAGCTGGTGACCACTAAATCCCCAGACGTAGATGAGTTGGCTCTACGTCTGGATCTGAGATGAAGGCTCCCATGGCTATTGAAAATTGCTTTTAGTAATGTTTAATGGCAGTAACAACCTTGCAAAGTGAAAAAGCTGTTAAACAAAGTACCTATGTACAGTTTACGTACAAAGGTGGACGGTAAGGATGTCAAAAGACCATATGCTCCACAGTAGCTGAAATGCTAGCAGTTGGAAAACGTGCATAAGCAAAGAAAGAAAAATAGATTACAGCTTACAGAAACCTATTTGAATTGGGCTCCTGAAATTAAACAGGAAAATCAGAAGGGTTCTTAGTCTATTGGGAAACTGAGAAGAAAGTAGAAGTTTATGAGTTTGTAGACTAATGGTTTTGCAAAAATGGGTGCATTTTGTGTTTTCAAAGCAGCTAATCCATGGGGTAGGACATAATGACTTATGGTGAATTAGACTGTTTTGGACAGGTAGCTAGAAAGCACTACAGAGATTCTGAGTCAGTTCTGGCTTTTGTTAACAGCAAGAGGGTAGAAATAAGAAATAAAAGAGATTTGGAGGATATTCTTAGCTCAGAAGATCCTGAGCCTGTTTTTATCACATGGATTTCAAATCATTATTCTGTTTTTTGTTACAGCTAAATAAGATTGTGTGTGTGACTACATCTCATTAACTCATGTGCATACTGCCTGGGAAGTATTATACTGATTTTTGCCCAAATAGCGTTTTATCTAATCTGGCCTTCCAACCATGAGAATCTTTAAAGAAGATGATGATTTATGTTAAGTCCTTAGGACTCTTTAATAGCTGTGTGTGAGCTGCACAGATTATTTAAATGTATAAGGAATGTAACCTGATTATCTTCTTGGCTGTAAAACTGGCAGCGTCCATTTGAGAGCAGCTGTCCAGAGACGAGGCAGCCCAGTGACGGGGTCGTTTGGCGAGGGGCTCCGGCTGTGCTTGCAGCCCATCACTTTGGCTTTTGTACTTCTATCACAGCCTTCCTTTTTTCCGGTTGTACTTCACTTCAGGCCAAAATAAGTTTTAATTTCCATACGTAATCCCTTGAGGAAAACACCGAGATGCTACAGGCATTGTATGGCTGACACAGGCTCTTCTGAAGACCTCAGTTGCAAGGTTAATACAGGGAATCCCTTACTGGGCTCCAGTGACAAAGAAGAATAGACCCAGCCACATTCCCTGGGTTCAGCCATGCACTCTCAGCCCTCTTCTGGAGGCTCTTTTGGCACAGAGTTAGCAGTGGCACGGGGAAAAAAAATGTGGCCTCGCAAGAAGAGAGGCTGCTGTCCTTCGTGGGGGGGACTCTCACCCTATTACCTGTCTGTGCCTGTGGGCCCTGGCATGTTGCAAGGGTCAATAGTACCAAAGGGCGCCTGCGTGTATGTGTACTTTATTTAAGTAGGAATCAGAATACTTCTGGGCCAAACTTACAGTGTGTCTGAATATATGCTTGTACATGCTACTCCAATACAAAAGGCAAACGTGTAACCTTGCAGTTGTTCACCTGCACCCACAACTTTAAGGGAAAACATGTAAATACTGTGATGCAGAGAAGGTAACTGCTTTCCCCAGTGTTGGACCTGCTGTCCCATCAGGTGGGACACACTGGCCCTTACAAGGTTAAAGAATAACACCTAAAATATTTGATATCATTGTTACATGTTTTAAAATCTTTCTTTCACAATTTTGTAGATCCATATCAGATTCTTGGACCGACCAGCAGCCGACTTGCAAATCCAGGTGAGAAGGGATTTTGCTGAGTTAGGAGAATTTATCTTCACTGCTAGTGTCCCCACTTCAGCTTTAAGGCCAGACCTGGAAGGTGATGTGACCAATTTTACCACTCTTCAGTATGACTCAGTGGGAGCTGATGATACCCCATGTGTTGGAGGATTACGTTTCTAAATTACACAATGGTGGGACTGAGGTCACAGATTAAGACGCATAAACTTGATGTAGGTGTCTACATATGAGCTAGGTGTCTTATTTCCCATGATATTCATTGGAGTTGTAGTTAATATAGCTCTCTGTAGAGAGCCATTCAAATCATCCTAGAGTAGGTGGTTACATTCAGTCAGTCAAATACCTCACTAGAAGGCAATAGGGCACACTGTGGTCAGTGGCTTGTAGCCTATTTTAACTAGAGATGAGGAACCTTCTTGGTGAGTTAACAACACTGATTGTGAACTGTGCAGATTCCACCATCGCTGCTCTGAGTCCGCAGGACACACTGTGGCCATACACCACCGTAATCAACATCGCAATCTGCCGCAGTGGATTGCTGTTGTACGTGCCGCTTACTATTTCCCTTGCTTTAACAGCCACAGGGCACAATGGTCCTTGTTCCACATTGCAGGTCTCCTCAACCCCCAGCAACCATATTTCTTATTACAACAATTGTATGGCTTTTCAAGGCATGAAATTGCCAAAATACTGATCCATTTCCTTTCACTTTATCCCAAGTGACCTCAAGCACAGTTCTAGATTAGCTTACTTTCTAAACAGTTTTGCATGGCATAGGAAAGCAATTAAGTATTAAGAATAGCATTTTCCAAATGGCCTAAGGCAGTGGGTTTCCTCATGACACTGATCTTAACTAAAAGTGGGGGCCTGTCTCCCTTTAATTTGCTCATGAATTTTGTCAAGTATCCATTTGGTAGCCTTCATTTCGGTGGAAGACACTAACATGATCTGGATTGGGATACTTCTTAACATTTGGATGTGGAATTCCTACACACCATCATTCCTGAGCTTTAACATGTTTTGTGTGTTTATAAATTGGTGGAATTACTCTCTCATTAAAAGGAAATTGACAGCAACCATTTATTTTCATAGGACTATATATTACATTTGGAAGGCAAGTGTTTATGTTAGAACATATGTTGGATTGCTTATTCAAAAATTTGTGTTTTGTCCAGTGCTGAACTGTTTATTGATTTTCAAAGGCTAATCCTCTTGTTATGTTTCGTGTATTAAAACTTGCATGCCTTGCTCATACCACAGATTCTTTTGTTTGTTTGTTTACTTAATGCATGTTAATGGAACAGAAGAAATTCATTACGGACAGTTTGAATAAATACAATTTAAACAAATATGGGTTTCAGTTGCACTGAAGTATAAACTGCTAATGGGTTTCAGATGCTACTCTAGCTTGATACTATAATTCGCTACTATAAGCTTTCTAAAGAAAAGCTTGTTTATTATACCCACATATCTGGTTTGGGGAAAAAAAAAAAAGAAACCCAACCGATTCCTGGTCAGAGATGTACTTAGAAGTTAGCACATATAAGCTGGTTGGCAAATTCTGCTGACACTGTGCTTGTGAAACAGATTGCCTTGCAAGCTGCTTCAGCTGCATTTTGCATCATTTCAGTCCTGCTTTATTAAGAAATGCTAAGCTTTTAACATGAGTATCAGTGGCAAGGCCCTTTGAAATCTACTTTCGATTGCCTAAAATGGTCAAATTTTGTTCCTATAACTCTGGGCAACACACTTCTGCAAAGTTGATGGCAGACCAATTTTCTTTTTAAGATTGGCAGAGGAGGGAGAAAAAACCAACAACTTTCAAGTCTTAACTTCAATAATAATTTAAATTCGTTTGACACAGAATGATGACAAGAATGTGTTTTATGGACCTTTTCACTGTTCTTGCAAATGTTTTGCCCTATGGTTGTATGCAGTGCAACAGCAAGCTAATAAGTTTCCGTTCTGCATTTCCCCAAATGCTGCAAATGGATGATATGGTTTGGCATGAGCCCAGCTTTCTCTAAACTTCTCCATTTTGTGTAGGCTTATTCCATAGCAGAGAACATTTAGTTGCAACATAATGCTGTGAGAACAAGCAAAATGTTACGCAAGTGAAAGCTGTTTGTCCTGAACTTTAGAGATTAGTTTCCTAAATGAGCGCTGTATTATTTCCCCATCAATTGTCTACACTGAATGACATTAGGTAACTATGAAATCTCCATGTAATGGCATTCTGCCACTCAGATGCGGGAAAAACATGACACATTGCCATTATCTCTGCTCTTTAGGATTTCGTGAGACAGGGCTGGGAGAAGGGGGACTAGTTAAGAGTAAGAAGTAGGAACCGGCAGTGCAACATTTCCTAATAGGGTCCTATGTGAGAGACTGGAAGAATTGATGTCTTGACATTATTAGGCACTAGTCCTGACATTTCTATTTCGTTTCCCCCCCGCAGGGAGTGGGCAGATACAGCTATGGCAGTTCCTGCTGGAGCTCCTCTCGGACAGCTCCAACTCCAACTGCATCACCTGGGAGGGCACCAACGGGGAGTTCAAGATGACCGACCCCGACGAAGTGGCTCGACGCTGGGGGGAGCGGAAAAGCAAACCTAACATGAACTATGACAAACTCAGCCGTGCGCTTCGCTACTACTATGATAAAAATATTATGACTAAGGTTCATGGCAAGCGCTACGCCTACAAATTCGATTTCCACGGAATTGCTCAGGCTCTCCAGCCTCACCCCCCAGAGTCGTCCATGTACAAATACCCATCAGACCTCCCCTACATGAGCTCCTACCATGCGCACCCTCAGAAGATGAACTTTGTAGCCCCCCACCCCCCTGCTTTGCCCGTAACATCGTCCAGCTTTTTCGCTGCCCCTAACCCGTACTGGAATTCACCAACTGGAGGTATCTACCCCAATACCAGGCTGCCAGCTGCTCATATGCCTTCTCATCTTGGCACCTACTACTAAGCGGGGAAAAAAAGAAACACCAGAAAAAGCAAACAAAGACACTTCTCGCTGGGATACAGTCCCTGCTGAATTGCAATGAACTCTATTGGAGTACATGAATTAAAAGTGCCTAAAGAGACAAGTGAAGGTTTGGCTGGGAAAAAACACATAAAAATAGGTGTCAAAAAGACTCTTTGCGGTAGGGATTTCAAGGAGATACTCAAGAAGTGTTAAGATACTAAAATGTAATGTATATGGGCATCAACTCTGTGGACCAAACAACAATAGACTATTGTAGGTAAAAGCATGAAATGATAAGGAAAACCTATGAAAGCTAGTGGTCTTCAAAAGTTGATAAACTTATGTGTAAAGTTTGATATCTTGCTAGTGCAAAACTGGGACTATACTACAGCAATATAAGGATAAGTCTATAGTGACCTAACATACAATATATGAATCATTACAAAAGAGGGGGGAAGAAAGGGGGAAAAAAAGAAAAAAACCTACCTGTATTTAAAAAATCAAAACATATCAACAAAACAGACTGGTTTAGTGTGGAAGCTGATTTGGAATATAACAGCATTGTTTTAGTTAAAATCAAATGCGTTCCATTCATCAGAGTGTTATCAGCTGCTCAAACTGTGAAGACAACCCAAACTTTAAGATTCCTTGACAGTGTTACAGGAACCCTGAGCCAAACATTGGAAATGAGAATGTGCTGAAGGGCAAGTGTATGACTGTAGATCAGAGGCCTGCACCTGACAGAGGAAGCAGAAAGGAGAAAGAGGAGGACAAAGATGGTGAGAATGGGAGAAAAAGAAACTTCTTTACCAGTAGAGACTGAAAAGACTGAAAACTTAGTAGCGTTGGGACTATGAAGAAACATTTGTTTGGACTTGTGAAACATATTGCTCAGTATCATACCATTCCCAGTATTACAGGAGGAACAGACTTGGTTTTATAGTAATAAAAAAGTGGAAAAAGGGAAAAGCAGAAGAATTCAGAAATCAGAATATGCATCTCTCTTAAAAAAAAGTAAAACTGGAATTGTGTTTGATATTTAAAAGTTACCCGTTAGAACCTCATCATATTAAGGGAGTTTGTTTTCTATTGGTTAAGGCAAGAGACAACCCCTGACTGCCAAAATCAGAAATCATCTAAGTATTTTTGTTAGGTGGGCGCCAGTTTTTCTTTATCGAGTCGCGAACGCTGTGCGTTTGTCAGAATGAAGTATACAAGTCAATGTTATTTTTTCCTTTTTATATAATTATTATATAACTTATGCATTTATACACTACGAGTTGATCTCGGCCAACCAAAGACACAAAAAAGGGACAATCAAAAATATTGTGGCCTTGAATTTTAACTCTGTATGCTTAATGTTTACATTATGAACATATTAGTACTTAGAATGCAGAATGTATGTAATAAAATAAGCTTGGCCTAGCATGGCAATTCAGATTGACACTGTAGTTTGCATTTGCATTTACATTTTTAGTGCCTGACTCGCCTGTCAGATCTCCTACTCACCATGTTAGAATATGCTAGGAATTTTGTTTTAAAATGTTGTTTTGTGAAATCTGGCAATCATGAACACGTAGGACCAAATAGCAAGCTTAGCCTGAGTTCAAAGTAGACAGGTGCTTTGTATCTTCTTTTCCAGACAGTTCTGCTAAAACACTTGCAGCTCTTCTTTAACAGTGCCTTGCCATTCTTGTCCTGAGCTTCTTTTGCCCAGAGATTGCAACCATGCCCAATTTTTTGACTTCATGGCCAAGATTGAAAATTAAGCCTAAAGGGGGCCTCTAAGGAAGAATACTGGCACCCAGAAATTATCTTTTGTTGCCATCAGATTTTGCGGCATAATCTCAGCCAGAGATGTATTTTCATACCAAATCATATGTTAAATTACCATGCCCCCTTGCTATTAATACATGCTGTATTGTTATTAGTAAATAAAGTGAATAATTAGTAACTTCCATTATTCCTCACTTTAGAATGGAGTGTATGGTAGCTTGTTAATTTGTCACTGCAGTCCATCCTAGCTGTTTACAAGGGGTAGGATGTTTTCTTTCTGTTAGAGATTCAGAGGTTTCCCACACTGTACCTTGGGCCCCAAAACTACATCTGGTGCCTAATGGCATGTCTCCCATTTTTTTTCAACACCAGCTGAAGAACTGGTCTGGAAAATCAGCACTGACATTTATGAGTGGCTCTCTACAGCAGGCAGTGTTTACTGCAGAGACCCGAGACAGCTCAGACCTCCAACTGTATACCTCTTTTTTACTGTTCTTTTGTCTCTTTTTTTCAGACAAAATGGGTGTGGTTTCAGGTTTTATAGCAAATGTTCCACATATCCGTTTTGTGGAGCATTAATCGGTGCTATGCAATGGGGGCCTACTTGCCAGACTCCCATGTTATGGGTGTCTTGGTGGCAGTTTATAAGCACAGGATTATATTACTAATGTTTGAGACTTGAGCAGTGGCATCATAAGCCTTGTGATCGTTTGGGGAATAAGCACTGTAAGTCTGTATCTCTTAAAAAATAAAAATTCACGGGAAGGTTAGAAAAACTGAACTCTTGGAAAAGGTTAGTCACTCACTATTTTAGAAAGTTATGGCAGGCACACCTACATAGTGACTATAAGAATAATAGTTTGCCTTTCAGTGGAAATACATCTACAGATGCTTGCTATCTACTTCATGTGTACTTCCAGCTCAAAAAAATGGTAAGTGTATTGTTGAGCCACCTTTTAATTAAACACTTAAAAATCCAGATAAAACAACCGTCTTTGTTTAGATTGGCAAGGACATGCCTGGAGGCCTCCAAAGCATCCCCAGTGCTCACAGAGCTGCCTGCAGGAATTCCAGATTGTGTTGCCTGGCTGCTATCGTGTGCAATGGGAACAACATCCTGACACTAAAAGAAAGGGTCCAAATCCTGGGACGGGGTTGGAGTCGCAGCAGATGGCATAATGGAGACCCCTCATGATGAAAAGCAAAATCCTACAGCAGGCTGTGGGTAAGCTCACCGGCAAACCAGTCCAGGACACCTGTCTTAGAGCTACACCTTTCCCCAGGGCCAGCTCAGAGCTTTCCAGGAGCCTTGGAAAACCTAGATTTTGCAACTCTGAGGATGAAGAGGACAGTGAAGAATGGAGAGACCCTACTGCTGCTGCATTGGGATGGGTGGCTCTCCTACTTGCAGGGCCTCGCTACCCCAGGGGCAGCACCCATCCCACAGGGTCTTCCGGCTGGAGGACAAGGACCAGCCCAGTGTCCTGGGGCACTGGCAGAAGCAAAACAGGCAGTGGACCTGTGGTACTGTCTCTGCTGCTCACTGCCTGCTACCGAATCTGGCCTTGCTACTGGGAGCCAGGAAGATCGGAGTGAGGCCAGAGTTTTAGGTGTTGGTTCCCAGTTCAGACCATGACAAGGGATGGGCCCAGTATAGCCAAAATGCTCAGGGAGGATGAGCAGCTCTGCATCTATACCATGAGAGACATTCATGTGAGGCTCAGCCAGACCCCAAGACCTTGGCTGAACATCCATCTGTTTGCCATTTAAGCACCTGGATACATGGATGACATGGCCTTGACGAGTCACGTTCGTGCCAGTTGGTCCTGTTGATAACTTTGGCCCTTTATCTAAATTAGAACTTCTTTTAAAGTCACTTATCAGTACAGTCTTATACCTTATTACAGAACTCCGAGGACTGCTCTGAAAGCAGAAACTTTATTTTTCCTAGAATCTAGAGATATACACATGCGCTTATGTTTCAGAAATACACATCTGTCTGGAAAGCTACCCTGTAACGTGGGAAGTGATGGTGAGAAAAGTTTTAAAAGTTCCTGGTTTTCTAGGAAGCTCAAATTTCACTGTTCTCGATGAAGATATTTCCCCTGATACTGAATTGGTTTTAGTGAGTATATAAAAAATGCCTTTGAAGGATGTATTTTACAACCCAGTTATGTGGCAGCAATGCCTGGTGGAAAAAACAAGAGGTCCCTTGTGCTTTCTTGGTAAAGATATTTTTTCTTTTTTTTCCCCCTCACTGGAGTTGTCACACCCCTTGCTGTGTTCCGCTGTTGGGAGAGCCCTTCCTCATCAAAGCTGGGCTCAGAGCTCACAGCCCTTAGAGGCCACCCTTCAGGACTGGGCATTACGCTGAGGGAGGCAAGGGCTAAGGAGTCCGTGAAGCCTCCCCCTTGGCTGATTAGCACCATGCCCCTCCCTCCATGATGAGCACTAGGTATACACACACCTGGTCAAGGCATGAAGCTCTCAATTATACAGTCCCTCATGCCTCTGACCGTCTGGTTATGTCTTGACCCCTGTGCAGACCACATGAGGGGGCCACACGAGGATTTCAGCAAGAGAAAATGCAAAAATGAAGTCTGGGTAAGCCACGTCATTTTCGGGAAGCACACAAGGCAGCTCAGAAGGCTGTCCTGGCTCTCTGCTTGTTTCCAGGCTTCAGCTGCAACCTCCAAAGTGGCCTGGCTCCACTGCTGCCCCTTGGGCGGTGTGACCGCTCCTTCGAAGCACTGGCAGCTGAGACTACAACAGATGAGAGCCTTGCTTGAAGAAGGGGGACCACTTGTGAGCTGGTTAGTGAGGATACTAGGGCAACTGGAATGTGGAAAAATGTTTAAAAATGTAATGGCCATCATTGTTTAAAAAGGCACATATTTTCAAGAATACTAAATAAAACAGCCAGGCTGCTTAAGCTAGAAATTGCAGAGATGTACTTTTAAATCACTGGAGTGAGGACTTCTCAAAATCAGTCTCAGAAGATTTCTTGAGTTGTGTACCAGAATCTTGGGCTATATATACTTCATAAAAGAATAAGGGGCAGAATAATTTTCTTTGCACAGTCCTAGAAGAAGTAGTGAGAAAGTCTACTTGGGAAACCCCGTCCATCCTCCTGACTATTACAGAGCTATTTTCTATTGTATACTTACTGATGTTTTCTTAACCCTCTTTTCATTTGAAAAGGTCTCCACTCCAGGGTATTTCCACCCGTTCCCTTAACACAGAGGTTTAATACGTCTCATTTTGTTTGTTGTCCTGCTATTTTTGCATTTTGCAGTTTCTTCTGATTACGCTTCCCATGCATAGCACTCTAGAGTTCCTAGCCTGCCTCAATGTTTACAGCTTTCCAAATATTTGTAGCTTGTTATCATGCTCCCTTTGACTGGATGTTAGCCAAGCTTAGACATATTCCACTTAACAAACCTATCCCTCTTCTTCTCCGATAATTGTTAATGGTCCCGTCTTTTTTTTGGTCTTTTTTTTTGTCTTTTTTTTTTTTTCTGTCTCTGCACATGAGTAGGCCTGATGTCTCCTGCTGTCTAAACCGTTTCCATCTATGACTTCTCTGACTGCCACCACCTTCCTACTGGAGTCCATGCCTCTCTCCCCAGTCAAGCAGATAATGTGCTTGTAGCCTCACCTGGCTGAAAGGTCTTCCTTGAGCAGCCAGAAGACGTTTCACCCCCTCAGCTCTGAATGGACTTCCATCTTCTTCTTTCTTTGGAGCAGTTTCTTTCTCGTGAACTGAAAAACCTCCCTTCCTCAGATCTCTCCACCAACAGACCACTAGGAAGGTTTTTCCAAAGTACTGTTGTGAACTTGCTGCACTAATTCCACCAGCTCATCTCACCCAGCTGTGCAGTGTTTATTTTGGCCCTGTTCTGTCTGTGTCCTGGACAGGCCAAGAGCTGCTACAGGCGGAAAATGCATATCCACAGAGCACCCAGCAGTGTGTTGCTACTTCGTACTAGATAGTCACAAGTAACATTGCCAAAAAAAGTGCCTATACA